ACCTAATTGCTACCAGATTTCCCTAGACTTTACTGACTCCGATTTCATCCAAATCTGGACTAGGTTGGAAAATCCCGAGTTACTACGAAAAAGTTTTCCAGCCCAAAATTTTTTCCCGTTGGCTTTTCTATAACGACGGGAACCAGTCGTTACAATAGATACCAATTTACCCATCACTCCTCCCCGAGTGACAAACTTAGGAAAAATAGGCTAAGGAAAGAATGGAGTAGTACCTGAATCGACGAACAACTAAGGATACTTGTCTCGCATGTCCTTCTCTGTTTCCCAAGTAGCTTCCTCAACTGGACGATGCTTTCATTGAACTTTCATAGACTTAATTTCCTTAGCCCTTGGCTTACGCACATCACGATCAAGAATTGCAATCGGTTCCTCCTCATATTGTAGGTCTTGCCAGGCCTTTCACCATCTGCTTTTCCTCGAGAATGTGAGACTGCTCACCCTCAATAATTGTATTGTTCGCTCTTTCCATTGATTGTACATCTTTCTCTAAACAAGGAATTTCTTGGGAGTCCTCCCAGTCTGTCTAACACAATTGAGTCCTATTTAATGATGTAATCCCCATCAACATGGTATCTCTTCAACATAGATACATGAAATATCGGATGAACTCCCGATAGGTTAGGAGGTAAAGTCAATCTATACGCTACCGGCCCTACACATTCAAGAACCTCAAAGGGACCAATGTATCGGGGACTTAGCTTGCCCTTCTTACCAAATCTTATCACCCCTTTCATGGGTGATACCTTAAGAAGAACATTCTAACCATTCTGAAATGTCATGTCTCTTACCTTATGATCCGCATACTTCGTCTGTCTACTCTGGGCTGCTAGAAGCTTAGCTTGAATACCCTAAAGGTTTCATATCTCCAGCCTCGAACTATCCTATGGGTGATCTACATCCCCTCCCATAAAGTGCCTCAAATGGTGTCATATCAATGCTGGAGTGATAACTATTATTATAGGAGAACTCATACAAAGGTAAGAACTTATCCCAATACCCTCCAAAATCAATCACACATGCCCTCAACATGTCTTCTAACACTTGAATCGTCCTCTCTGACTATCCGTCCGTTTGCGGATGAAATGTTGTACTAAAAGTGAGTTGTGTGCCCAATTCATCATGTAACTTCCTCCAAAACTTAGAGGTAAACTGCGTACCACGGTCTGAGATGATAGAGAGGGGAACCCCATGCAACCTCACTATCTCTTTCACATAAACCTTCACCAATTATTCAGCATTATAATTTATTCTTACCGGAATAAAATGGGCTGACTTAGTCAATCTATCGACCACTACCCAAATAGAATTAAACTTTCCCAAAGTCTTAGGAAGACCAACCACGAAATCCATGGCTATCATTTTCCACTTCCATTCTGAAATTGGCATTCTTAGAAACACCCCTGCAGGCCTTTGATGCTCATACTTTACTTGTTGGCAATTTTGACACTTAGCCACAAACTCCGCTATGTCTTTCTTCATACCCGACCACCAATAAATTCGTTTCAAATCTTAGTACATCTTGGTCACGCCCAAATGAATAAAATATCGTGAACCATAGGATTCTATCAACAATTTTTAAATCAAGTCATCAAATCGAGGAACACAAATTCTTCCTTTAAACTTAGCACACCTTCTGCATCAAAAGTGGTCTCTTGTGCCTTACCAATCGCAGTCTTCTTCTTAAGTTCACTCAAGTTTTCATCCTCAAATTGTTTGGCCTTGATCTCCTCAATGAACGTGGCCCTAACTTCAATGCTAGCTAACACCCCACCTTTTTCTGAGATGCCTCATTGCATGAATTTAGACTCCAAGGTTTGAATTTCCTTAGTCAAAGGTCGCTTGGTTACACTCAAGCAAGCTATACTACCCATACTCACCGTTTTTCGACTCAAAGCGTCTGCCACAACATTAGCCTTACCCGAATGGTATTGAATGGCCACTTCATAATCCTTGAGTAACTCCATCCACCTACGTTGTCTCAAATTCAAATCCTTTTGAGTGAACACATGCTGCAAACTACAATGATCAGTAAACACCTCACACTTAACACCATAGAGGTAATGCCGCCAGATCTTAAGAGCAAATACTACCGCTGCCAACTCCAAATCATGTGTTGGATAATTTCTCTCACTCACCTTCAATTGACGCGATGCATAAGCTATAACATTCTTATCTTGCATCAACACAACACCCAAACCAGAATGTGAAGCATCACAATAAACAATAGAATCTTTACCTTCAACCGGTACTGCTAGAATAGGTGCGGTTGTCAAAAGAGTCTTGAGCTTTTGGAAGCTCTCCTCACATTTTTTAGTCCATTCAAATGGTATCTCGTTTTTGGTCAAATTAGTTAAGTGAGTGGCAATAGAAGCAAAGTTCTTCACAAATCGACGATAATAGCTAGCGAGCCCTCCAAAACTCCTATTCTTAACCGCCTCAATATTTGGGGATCTACCATTACCCCTTCTTTTGAAACTACATGCCACAAAAATGCAACAGAAGTCAACCAAAATTCACACATAGAAACTTTCGCATACAACCTTTGTTTCCCAAGAACACCCAGAACAATACGAAGATGGTCGGTATGCTCTTCCTCACTTTTCGAATAGACCAAAATATCATCAATAAAGACTATAACAAATGAAACAAGAAATGGTTTGAACACCCCATTCATTAGACTCATGAAAGTTGCAGGCGCATTAGTCAAACCAAAAGACATAACTAGGAACTCGTAGTGCCATAGCGGGTTTTAAACGTCATCTTGGGCACATCCTCAGGCCTAATTTTTAATTGATGGTAACCAGATCTTAGATCAATTTTAGAGAAGACTGATGCACCTTGCAATTGGTCAAAACGATCATCTATTAGCAACAATGGGTACTTATTTTGAATGGTGACCCTATTCAATTGCCGGTAATCTGTACACATCCTCATACTACCATTTTTCTTCTTAACAAACAAAACTAGAGCACCCCACGGGGAAGCACTAGGACGAATAAATCATTTATTAAGAAGTTCTTGGATTTGAGCCTTAAGCTCTCTTAATTCTGCCAGAGCCATGCGGTAGGGAATGATGGAAATGGGACGAGTACCAGGTTCCAAATCAATGCAGAAATCTATATCTCTATCCGAAGGCATACCAGACAAATCATTAGGAGACACTTCTCTAAATTATGACACACGGGAATAGACTCAACAGATGGAGACTCAACCTTAACATCCCGAATGTAAGCCAAATACGCCAAACAACCCTGCCCTACTAGTTTCCTAGCCCGAATGGAAGATATGATCTTAGCTTGCTTAGGCTTGTACACCTTTCCCACTCTAAATTTCCCTTCCCGGAATTTCTAGAGTTATAGACTTAGTGTTACAATTAAGCACAACATAACAGCGGGACAACCAAGTCATGCCTAAGATTATATCAAAGTCAGTCATATCTAAAATCACCAAATCAGCCCAAGTCTGAAAACTCATAAACAAAATACGACAAGCACGATAGACATGGGTGACTATGACAGACTTTCCAACTGGGGTAGAAACATGGATGGGGCATCAAGTATATCACAAATCATAGCAAATGTTGTGGCAAATCGCACGGACACATAAGAATAAGTAGAACCCAGATCAAATAACACATTAGCTATATGGTCAGAGACAAGAATAGTAGATGTGATAATTGCATCAGACGTCTCCGCCTCATTCTTGCCCGGAAAGGCGTAACACTGAGCCTTATCATCATGACGGGTGACTTCCCTGCCTGGCTGCACTGTACCTCTCCCTATATTGCCATTTCCCCTACCTTCGCGGCCTCAATAATTTCCTCCTCGCCCACCGTGTGGACGTCCTCGACCATTATTACCATTTCTCGTGGGTATGACTACTCTAGTCTACTGTTGCACGGAATCCATCATACATGGGTGGGGACAATCTCTTTTTATATGCCCAGGTTTTCCACAGTTATAGCAAGTATGATCAAAAGTGGTCTGCTACCCGTCAAATGTGCGGCTTCCTGGTTATCCTGAATCAAATTATGAGGTGGAGTTCCAGAGTAATTACTTGTAGAAGCATAAATGGCGGACTGAATTGGCCGAGCTGCAAGTGTTGGCCTCCCTGAACCTGTGGTGTAAAAAAACTGAAAGTTGCCTGAATTATTGGCTTTCTTAGCCAATGCCTTAGCCTGACCGTCTCGCCTCACCCCATCCACTTTCTTAACAAAGTTTGTTACCTCATTAAATCTCCTCCCTGCAGAGGTCATATGAACAGATAATACCTGCAACTCAAAATTTAGTCCCTTAATAAATAAACGGATCCTCTCTTCCTTAGTAGTCACCAATTGAGTCGCATATCTAGACAAATCATGAAACTTAGTGTCATAAGAAGCCACAGTCATACCACCTTGCTCCAAAGCCATAAATTCATCCTTCTTGCGATCCCTCAAAGTCCAAGACACATATTTCTCTAAAAACAGAGCATGAAACTGGGTCCAAGAGAGTGGGGGTAAAGTTGAAGATCAACATTCCACATAAGCTCTCCACCACTGCTTAATCTCACCTTGAAGCTGAAAATTCACAAACTCAACCCCATGTTGATGGATAATTCCCAACTTATGAAGCCTCTCATAACAATCTAGGATGAACTCATATGCATCCTTACTCTGAAAACCAAGAAACACAGGAAGCTTTAGCTTCAAAACTTAGTCAACATTTCATGCTCATAACCAGTCATAATAGGACCCAACAAAGGACGAAAGAAATCATCAGTACCTCCAGTTCCACCCATGATCTTAGGCATATTTATATGCCTAAGTTGTTAACAATTGCCCATAAAGTGCTTAAGTTGAGGAATAATCTTAAGTTATTAGCTTGATTTTTGTTATACTTGTAATGATTGTGCAGTTACACACATGATTAGTTGTTTTAGGAAATCTCAAAGGAAGTGGAGTTGGAACAAAGAAAGACGGAGCAAAGATGTGCAAGAAAATGGCCAAGGCAAAAACCACCAGTGGCTGGCGCACTGGTTGGCACGGTGCGCCATTGGTGGTACGTGATAGAGGAGCTGGTGGCGTGCTGAGAGGCGCGATGCGCCAAGGCCCAACATTCAGAGGCACTTCTCAAGCACGCAAAGAGGCGCGGCGTGCCAACACTAAGCAATTGGAGCATGTTCGTGGGGCAATAAGAGGTGCGACACGTCCCTTTTTTGCCGACTTTTCTAAGTTTTAAACTTTAAGTAAGATTCCTACTTTAAGTAGGATTTGTTCCCAACTTTTCCTACTATTATAAATAGATCCTTAGGGTTCCATAATTAGCGTTCAACTTTTGATCTAGTGTGCAAGAGCAAGAATTAAAGTTTGTAATAGGTTTAATCCTTCAACTCTTCTATTTTCTGGAATTTGCATGAACTATTGTAATTTCTTGTTTTCTAATAGCATGAGTGGCTAAACGCTCTAGTTCTGGGGCTGTAGCTACGAATTGATTGTTGATTATTTAAGGCTTGTTGAATTAAATCTTGGTTGCCATTATAAGTTACTGCTATATTCTTGTTTTAGTATTTTATGCTTGCGCACCATAAGATAAATTT